GTATGAAATCTTTATATTTTTCATTAGAATCATACTAAATGATCAACATTAGTTACAAAAGATTTTTCAATAATTTAAATTAAACGATTAGAACAAAATAAATAAATTATTTCTTTAATAAATATAAGATCTTTTTTATTAAAATTATTAATGAATAATTATCTAAGATTTTCTTTATTAAATAAAATAAAAGGTATAATTATAATTAATTTTAGATCTTATTTTTCGATTTTTCCCAGCTTCACCATCAAAAAAGCTCAGGCACGTGACCGTGAAAATATTTGTCATATCATCACATCCCGGTGAGTAAGTAAAAATTATTCGTCATGCTCTTATTCGTCACTGTTTATTTTCACGTGTTAGTGCATAATGCCATAATGCGGGCCAAACCTTATGGTGTAGCTGGGGGAGTTTATTTTTTATCAGAAGTCATATGATCAACATACAGTTACAAAAAGATTTTTTTTCAAATAATCTAAACAATTAAATAAAACAAATTATTATTTTATTTATATATAACCCAAAATTAATAATAAATAATTATCTAAGATTTTTAGATCTTTCTTTTCACACTAAAATTAAATATAAGAATTTTTCTTTAAAATAATCTAAATCTATGATAATTTAAAAATTGTCATATTTAGATTACCTTGTATAAATAATTTGAATTGTGTAATATTGAAAAGTGTGATATTCTTGCATCTCGTATTTATCATATCATAATTAACTGACAATAACCAATCTTCATTTCTGGCAAAATATAATTTTTTTATTAATTATATTTTATTTGCAGTCATTTCTGATCTCTTAGTCATCACAACTAACCATTTCTAAAATAATAATTTTTTTTTTTCGATTTTTACCATAAAAACTGAAACTTTTTTAGTCTTTTTTATTAATTTTTTTACCTCTTTTTATTATTATTCCGCTTTCTTTCGGTTAAACCAAAATTTTTTCTTATTCCTTTTTAATTAAAATTTTTGGAATAAAAATAAAAAAATCATTAACTATGACGTCATTTTTTAATCCAAAAAATTTTGTTTATTTTTTAAGATTTTTTTAGTCAATAAATTTGTGTGAAAATTTTTTTTAGTAAGATTGTTTTAATTATATGGACATATAACAATATTAATAATTTTGTAATTAAGCCTATAATAAATTTTTGATAAATCTATATAAATAAAAAATTTGTCTGACATTTGGATTAGTCTCTATAACTTGAAATCCCATGCCATATAATTAAAATCCGTGACATGCCTCTGCCTGATCTATTTATGGTCAAGAATTATTCAATCCATATATGAACTAATCCAATTTCAGTTAATGAAATTTTACCTGAATTTTTTTTTGATTATTCTAATTTTTTTTTTTTTGAAAAAAAAGAAACCCGTTTTTTAATTTTTCATTTTTTTTAAACTGATCCTATTGTTTCAGTCTTTTAAGGCTGATTTTTTTTTTATATTATTTTTTTGATTTTTTTTCTGTATTAATTTTTTTTGGGGGCCAAAATATTGTCCTTTATTTTCAGAATTTTTTTCGGTACTTATTTTTTTTCGAATTCCCTTTTTTTGGAAATTTCCCTTTTTTTAAACTGGTTTCTTTCTTTAACCTTTCTTTCCTATATTTTATTTATTATTATTAAATAAAGAAATAAAATATTATATTAAATATATTTACAAAATTATTATTTTTTTTAAAAAATCAATATAATATATAGGAAAATTGACCGACGTTAATAGAAAGATGATTAAGATTTTTCAATTAAATTAAATGCTGGATAAATAGTTTGAAGAAATTGTTAATTTAATAATAGATTATTATAACCAAATCCATATCTGAAATTCTCTAAATAAACACCAGATTTTTGAATAAAGATTTTAATTCAAATGATATAGTTAAATTAATAATTTATTGAGTAAAA